CAACAGATGGTCATCCAGCCTCTGTTTAAAAGCCTTCAAAGAAGGAGCCTCCACACTCCAGAACAGAGAGTTCCACTACTGAACATCTCTCACAGTCAGGATGTTCTTCCTAATGTTCAGGTGGAATCTCCTTTCCTGTAGTTTTAAGCCATTGTTCCATTGCATTCTAGTCTCCAGGGCAGCAGAAAACAAGCTTGCTCCCTTCTCCCTGTGACTTCTCCTCACATATTTATACATGGCCATCATGTCTCCTCCCAGGGAGCTCTGGTGTGGGCTGGTCCATGAGGTCATGAAGAGTCAGAAGCGACTGAATGAATAAACAACATGTCTCTTCTCAGCCTTCTCTTCTGCAGGCTAAACATGCCAAGTTCTTTGAGCTGCTCCTCATAGGGCTTATTCCCCAGACTCTTGAGTCGCCCTCCTCTGGACACATTCCAGCTTGTCAACATCTCCATTCAATTGCGGTGCTCAGAACTGGACATAGTATGATTCTAGGTGTGCTCTGACCAAGGCAGAATAGAGGGGTAGCATGACTTCCCTGGTAGGCACTATACTCCTATTGATGCAGACCAAAATCCCACTGGCTTTTTAGCTACCCCATAACATTGTTGGCTCATGTTTAGCATCCTGTCTACAAGGACTCCATGATCTTTTTCACACATACTGATGTTGAGCCCAGCATCCTCCATTCTGTATCTTTGCATTTCATTTTTTTCTGCATAAGTGGAGTATCTTGCATTTGTCCCTGTTGACATACATCAAAGGTGCACACGATACATACAGTGAGAAGAAAATCTGCCTTCTTTCCAGGAAGCAGGGAACCTCGTCTTTCTTAGATGTAGGTTAACAGTTTGTACTGTACATCCAGTTTGGGTTGGTAGTGAATTCATATCTTTTCTGGAAATAAAGTACTGTCTGTCTCATCACACTCACCTTTTTTAAAATTCTCCAACGATCTTCTGTCCAAAGGTGTTTCCACTGCTTGAATCACAGCTCCATTCTCTTCTTCATTTGACTTCACAAAAGAATATTCCTTGCCCTTTTCTATTATATGAGCTTCTGCCATTTTTCTTGAGACTATACAGATCTTAATTTTCTACACTAAGCTGATTCTTGCTGCAGATATTTTTCACGTGATATGATCAGAGAAAACAAACTTCAAATACCATTTAATCATGCACTTTAATCTGTGCCTTTGCCCATCCAAACTGGCAATGCAGTCTTTCCCTCTAGTCCTGTATAAAACCGTTGCTTTGTCTGCTCTTCTAGTTAATGTAAATGACCCAAGTTTTCATTTGCTGAAGTGACGGTCTTTGTTTTGTGAAGATATTCTCCCCTTAAAGTCTGTCTCCAAGATTGATCTGTATTGGGAAAAAATGCACAGAATACAAATAGTTTATACTGGAACACCTCAGCAAGCGAGAGTCCAAAAGCGGCAGCACCTCAATCAATGGCTGATACCAAATGAGAGACTCCCCCCTGGGCACACAGAAAACTGGATGACTTGGAAGGCGCTGAACAGACTGCACTCTGGTACCACCAGATTCAGAGCCAACCTTAAGAAATGGGGCCACAAAGTGGAATCCACAACATGTGAGTGTGGAGAAGAGCAAACCACTGACGACCTACTACAATGCAACCTGAGTCCTGCCACATGCACAGTGGAGGACCTTCTTATAGCAACACCAAGTGGCCAGATACTGGTCAAAGGACATTTAATAGAATGCCAAGTTTGCAAACTTTGTGGTTTTTTAAAAACACAACTGTTTGGTTCGCTTCTGACACGATAAATAAATATTTCCACATGCAGTGTACTTTTGTTACATAGTGGCTTTTTAGCTTTGCCTCAACAACAGCTTTGCAACAAATGTGACACAGCGGCGTACAACCACTTTTCCTGATGTAGTCTTTTTAGACCTTGGGCTATAATTCCCACTGTCCTAATTCAATATGTACGTAACTAGAAAATATACCTAGTATTCCCGCGTATACATTTTCTAAAGGGACCATTCGCAATATCATAAAGCTTTTTGGCACAAAGTAACTCAGGTTAAGTATTTTTCTCTCTGCGGAAGAAATACACTGTCTGAATATAGGATTCTGTTAAGAACTTTATAATTATCCAAGTTTTGTCATGTTAAGGGCTTCTTTCTCACATTCCCAGCTCACTTTCATCTTTGGCTGTCCTTCTGAGAAAACCTCATAGAATCATACGTAAAATCACAGAGTTGGAAGAGACCTCGTGGGCCATCCAGTCCAACTCCCTGCCAAGAAGCAAGAAAATTGAATTCAAGGCACCCCTGACAGATGGCCATCCAGCCTCTGTTTAAAAGCCTCCAAAGAAGGAACCTCCACCACACTCCAGGGCAGAGAGTTCCACTGCTGAACAGCTCTTACAGTCAGGAAGTTCTTCGTAAAGTTCAGATGGAATATCATTTCTTGTAGTTTGAAGCCATTGTTCCACATTCTAGTCTCCAGGGCAGCAGAAAACAAGCTTGCTCCCTCCTCCCTATGACTTCCTCTCACATATTTATACATGACCATCATCACGTCTCCTCTCAGCCTACTCTTCTGCAGGTTAAACATGCCCAGCTCTCTAAGCTGCTCCTCCAATTCTCACCACCACAATTAGAACATCTCTGTAAAGACACTCTAATTCTCTTCCATTTGTCATCTCTTCATAAGGTAACCTTTCTATCGATAGTCTTCCCTGTTGTGGTAGCATCTAAGCATTGCAGCATGAGGTTCATGAGCCACCAATGTGGGCTATTTTAAAAATAAGGTAGCTAACAAAAGGGAGTGATTATTTTAGTTTAAAACCTGTATTTTAAATTGAATAATAAAGGATCATGTGTTCCAAGTTTGGTCTAGAACCATCAAGTCACGTAGGAGCCTTTGTAGAACATACATACATACAGAATTGAAGCAACAGGAGTTGTAATCCAGTAATGAACATGATACTGCTGACTGAAAGAGGAATCAATACATAATATGTGAATCTTCTTTTGCCTAAGACAACATTTCTCAACCTAGGGGTCACGAAACACCATCAGAAAACATTTATTTCTGATGTTCTTAGGAACCCTTTTGGCAAAGAAGGCTGAAGATCTGTCTGCCTGTCCTTCTCTTCCTTTTTGAAAACAGAAACGAATCCTCCCACCAAAAGCCCTCCTCCGCTGTGATAGGCCGGCCTCTCAGCCAAGGGGGAGGGCTCTTTCTGAGGCTCCAAGTGGGGAGGGGAGAGCAGGCATGCTTGGGGCATGGCAGTGTGGTGCACATGTGCAGGTGAGAAAGAATGTGCAAGGCTGGAGGGAGGCTCGGGTAAGTGAGTCCCTTCAAGGCAGGAGGGTTCTGTGAGGGAAGTTGGGCCCAATTCTATCACTGGTGAGGGTGAGAATGCTTTTTGACTGTAGGTGAACTATAAAACCCAGCAACTACAACTCCCAAATGTCAAGGTCTATTTTCCCCAAAACTCCACCAGTATTTAGACATATTGGGTATCCGTGCCAAGTTTGATTTAGATCTATCATTGTTTGAGTCCACAGTGCTCTCTGGATGTAGGTGAACTACAACTCCAAAACTCAAGGTCAATGCCCACCAAGCCCTTCTGTGTGCCAAGTTTGGTTCAATTCCATTGTTGGTGGAATTCAGCATGCTCTTTGATTGTAGGTGAACTATAAATCCCAGCAACTAAAACTCCCAATCCAAAGGTGTCATTTTTCACAGAATCCTAGGAAGGAAGGAGCCTTTAACAGTCCTCTCAGAATTCTTCAGGAAGCAGAAACTGGATTTTAAGTTGATTTTAAAAAATATATCTTTATTATTGAAAGACTAGCCATCCCCTGCCATGTGTTGCTGTGGTGCAGTCTGGTTTGCCTACTCTGGAATATGCAACATATAATTGTCCTTTAGGGGTCCCTTTCAAATCTGTGATACTATATCTGTGTGTGTGAATCATATCTATTAGGCTTGGGTGATCCAAAAAAAAAAAGGGTTCAAAACTCGTTTCAGATGTAGGGGGCGCTGGTGATTCGATTTTGAAATTATTTCTGAAATTTTCTTGAAAAAAAGATTGGAAATATCAGGAAATACTAATTTGTTTGCTTCCTTAATGGAAGGTGCCCCTTCCTCCCTCCAAAACCATTAAAATCTCGCAGTTTCCCTTCCTTCCCTTGCGGCGAGCTGTGATGCAGAGGGACAGACGGGGTGGGCATGGTTAAGCACAGCTCTTCTTGAAGGCCAAGCCGGCCTCGTCCCTCTGCATGACAGCTTGCCAGGGAAGGAAAGCTGCGAGATTTTAAAAGTGTTAGTTTTAATCTCTCAGCTTCCCTTCCCTGGCTAGCTGTCATGCACCAGCTCAAGACTTGAAAATCGAGAAGTTCTATTCTATAATATTGAACCCTGGAGGATTTGTGTGTGTGTGTGTGTGTGTGTGTGTGTGTGTCAGGAGCAACTTGAGAAACTGCAAGTCGCTTCTGGTATGAGAGAATTGGCCATCTGCAAGGACATTACCCAGGGGACACCTGGATTTTGTGGAAGGCTTCTCTCATGTCCCTGCATGGAGCTGGAGCTGATAGAGGGAGCTCACCCGCACTCTCCCCGGTTGGATTCGAACCGGCAACCTTCATGTCAGCAACCAAACCTTCCAGTCATCAGTCCTGCCAGCACAAGGGTTTAACCCACTGGAAGATAAAGTGTTGTCAAACTGCATTAACTCTTCAGTGTGGGAGATGCATCCACACGCTCATAGAATCATAACGTGGGAAGAGAGCTCGTGGGCCATCCAGTCCAACCCCATTCTTCCTCTCAGGTATTTATACAAAGGCAAAAGCCTGAACAAACCTTGCCAAGAAGAAGAGGTTGATTGGCTTTAAGAAGAAAAAAGTGCGTTGAAAGCAGCTAGCGACCAACTTGTAAGCCCCAAACGGGAGATGTTTGTTATGGGAGTGGGGGAAAGGCGAGTGAAGGGGGAGGGAGCCCAGGAGAAGAAAGGCACCTACCAGGCAAGAAGGGGCTGGTTGCTTCTCTTCGCTTTGTTTCATCCCCCGTAGATCCCAGTAGAGTCGAAAGAGAAAGAGCGGGCTCCGCATTGTGGTAACGGCCCCGAGCCCTTCAAATCTCTCCCCGCCTCTTGGGAAGAGAACAAATCGGAGAGGAGGGGCGGGGCGGGGCTTTCATGGGTTGCTGTGAGTTTTGCGGCCTGTATAGCCATGTTCCAAAAGCATTATCTCCTGACGTTTCGCCCACATCTATGGCAGGCATCCTCAAAGGTTGTAGGGTCTCTTGGTGGGATTTATATGTCTGTGGAATGTCCAGGGTGGGAGAAACAACTCTTGTCTGCTTGAGGTACGTATGAATGTTGCAATTTGCCACCTTGATTAGCCTTTAGTGGTTTGCAGTTTATTATTAATTATTATTATTATTATTATTATTAACTTTATTTGTACCCCGCTAGCATCTCCCGAGGGACTCGATGCGGCTCACACAGGCCGAAGCCTCAAAACACAATACAGTAAAAAACATAACACAACAATAGCAAAGCAAATCAAACAATAAGCAATAACGACACCAACAATACATCAAACATTATTAAAACTGGCTCGGCCGGCGCGATGGGTACAGGAAATTAAAAGTGCTGAGGTGGTGGGGCACGTGGAATTAAAAGTGCAGTGTGCAGTGGCAATTAATTATGCTAAGGTACTATCAGAACTCAGGTGGGGATTCCTAGTCTGAAAAGGCACAGCGGAACAACCAAGTTTTTAAATTCCTTCTGAAAGCAGCAAGAGAAGGGGCCTGTCGGAGATCTTTTGGGAGTTTAAAGGCCTGGCTGGTTACTGTCTGGGGGAATCCTTTGTTGGGAGGTGTTAGCTGGCCCTGATTGATTCTTGTCTGGAATTCCCCTAAAGGTAAAGGTAAGGCAAAGGTTTTCCCCTGGCATTAAGTCTAGTTGTGTCCAACTCTGGGGTTTGGTGCTCATCTCCATTTTTAAACCAAAGAGCCGGCGTCATCAGTAGACATCTCCAAGGTCATGTGGCTGACATGACTGCATGGAGCGCCGTTACCTTCCTGCCGGAGCGGTACCTATTGCTCTACTTCAGGGGTCCTCAAACTTTTTAAACAGAGGGCCAGGTCACAGTCCCTCAAACTGTTGGAGGGCTGGATTATAATTTGGAAAAAAAATGAATGAATTCCTATGCACACTGCACATACTGTATTTGTAGTGCAAAAACCACTTAAAAACAATACAATAATTAAAATGAAGAACAATTTTAACAAATACAAACTTATTCGTATTTCAATGGAAAGTTTTGGCCTGCTTTTGGCTGATGAGATAAGATTGTTGTTGTGTGCTTTCAAGACATTTCAGATTTAGGTTGACCCTGAGCGAGGGCCAGGTAAATGACCTTGGAGGGCCGTATCTGGCCCCCGGGCCTTAGTTTGAGGACCCCTGCTCTACTTACATTTACATGTTTTCGAACTGCTAGGTTGGCAGAAGCTGGGGCTAATAGCAGGAGCTCACAAAGCTCCCTGGATTCGAACCTGTGACATTTTGGCAGAGGTGGCCCTAGGTAATTTTCAAAGGTAAGCAAACAGTATTTTGCCTCCCCCCCCCCCCAAACCAATCACTGATATATATTTTCTGTTCATCGTGGGAGTTCTGTGTGATATATTTGGTTCAATTCCATCATTTGTGGAGTTCAGAATGCTCTTTGATTGTAGGTGAACTATACATCCCAGGAACTACACCCTCCCATATGAAACTACAACTCGCATATGTCAAGAAATCATCCGGTTGGTGGCACAGCAATGGAAGACGTGTCCTTCTGAGCTCCGCTCGAGGATAGCCAGGTTTTGAGTAAAGGGGCCCACTACGCCCCTCTCTGATTGACGGATTGAGGTCGAAAGGAGCGGTGAAGGGGTGCAAATCGGCCGACGGCGTCTAAGCGGTGCCCCCCTCAAGGGGACACCCAAAGACGCCCGGCAACGGTGCACCTCCTCCACAACTCAAACCGTGGCAGGAGGCTATAGACCTCTACAATCCATTGGCCACCAGCACAAGAGGGCAAGAAAGAAGAAAGAAAGAAAGATATACACAAATACAAAGCAACGTCTACTAAGGATCCGACTCGATCGCAAGAGTAAAGAAAGAAAGACCCCTAGGCTGGACAACATCGAGAACAACAGCGGCAATTAAAACAACAAGAACAAGGTAACTTAGTCCGGGGGAAAGGGGAAAGCGGCGGCGATACTCCAAAACTCATCTTAAGACCCTACAAGAGAGATACCCCAATATCGCAGTCGGGTAGAGCAATAGTAGCTCCCTCCCTGAGATAGGGGACGGCAAAGCCAGTCAGGGGAAACTCAGAGGCCGTCCCGGAGGGGGCGACCGCTGAATCCCACGGGTATCCAACACCCAGTGGCATAGCGGGCTGCGATTTGGATCCAATCCGACTCCGGCGGGAGTAAGGAAGCAGACGGAAAAGTCTTAAGAATAATAAAAAAAAATAGGAAAAATAGAGGAGACTGGAGGAAAGAAAAAGATATAATATACTACGCCGTACCTAGCGAGACCCCCCCCCCCCCCCCCTTAACTTCCAAGGAAGAAAGAAAGAAGGAAAGAAGGGAAGAAGGGAAGAAGGGAAGCCACGTGGAAACCAACACAATACAATAAAAAAAAAGTAGACTGACCTTGAAAACGCCAAAGTGCTCCAGCACTGACCTGTCGTCACTCAAGTGTCGCATAACTTCAGGTTCCATCCTCCAGCTCCCCAAGGACAGGAGGAGGGAGGAAGTGGAGCGAAGGGCGGGGAGAGCATAACACAACACGGAGGAGAAACAACGCGGAAGTGAGTGAGCAGAAACGCGACTGCAAGATAACCTCCAAGGCAATCCAAGGCAATCTCGCGAGAAGTGGGTGGCGATCCTCCCGCGAGAAGAAGAGAAGCAGAAACCGCAGAAGAAAACCAAATAGCCAAATAGCCAAGGATAAATTAAAAAAAAAAAAAAAAAGACCTAGGCAACTGGATTTGGGTTACATTGGATGATAACAGAACAACAAAACAATAAAATAAAAGAATAACAAAAAGATAAAATCCTTACATAAAACAAAACAATATAAAACAAAGTATAAAATAAAATAATTAAATATAAATAATAAAAATAAATAAATAAATAAAGGTTTAAAAAAAATTTTTAAATCAAATTAAATTTAATAAAAAAATAAAAATAAAAATAAAAATAAAATAAATAATAAATAATAATTCAATCAAAAACAATACAATAACATAATAACACAAAAATAATAATAAACACGCTCTTATAAATTAAATAACATAAGGACATACTTAACACTTACAAAATATCAATACTCTCTAGTACTGGTAAATAAAACAACACAAAAGAAATTAAAATACCACAAAACAACAAATCAGTGAATAATCAAACCAGACAAGAACGCAGAAAATAGTAATATATACACACGGTCCCATTAGAGGCATATAACAATACAAATCAAATAACAAAATCACAACATATAAGCAGCAAATTTAAAGACACACGGGTCAAAATTTAATAGCTCTCAGGATATTCAAACAATTTAAACCAACATACCTTGGTACAAGATGCAAAATAAAAAAGATAAAGCACAGATCCAAGCAACCCAAACAATACAACCCCCACAATCACCCCAGTTATCCCAAACGACGTTAACTGCAAAATTACAAACCAAAAGAAACTCCCTAGCAGAAGAAAATATGTTAAAAGAAATACTAGCGGAGATAAAAAAAATCTCCACAAAACAAGAGACACAACATGTAGAATTACAAGCGGAAATTAAGAAGATTGCAACCAAACAAGAGACACAACATAAGGAGTTACAGGCGGAATTTCAAAATCTAAAGACAGACCTAAAAGCCGACATCAAGAAACTTCAAGATGATGTAGACAATATGAAAAAAGAAAACCAAAAAATAAACAAAGCCCAAGGGAGAGCAGATTACAAAATTGAAAGACTTGAAAATCTTATCCAAAAAATTCAACAGCAAACAGAACTTCTTGAAAACAAGGAACTGGAATACCAACTTAGACTCCGTAACATCGAGGAATCAAAAGACGAAAATATAAAACAATTAACGATCACACTACTGGCAGATTTACTTGAAGTGGAAAGAGAAGTCATCGGATAAGACGTAGACAGAGTATTCCGCGTCTCCACAGGCTTCTCAAAAAGAAACAAAACAACCAGGGATGTGGTGGTAGGATTTTGTCGGAAAAGTACACGAGACGAGATCCTGATAACAAACGCCAGGAAGCCTCTACACCACAATGGTAAAAGAGTAATAGTGATGAAGGAGGTGACCCAACAGACCCTTGCAAGGAGAAGAAAATACGCCTTCCTAACGGAAGAACTGATCAAGAAAAAAATAAAATTCAAATGGGAGAAGATAGAAGGTCTGACTGTAACTTTTAATGACACTAAATACTGGTTAAATAATGTGGAAAAAGCAAGAGCCTTCTATGACAATCATATAAAGGCCAAAACACAAGAATCATATCCAAACAAGACTCCAAGAAGCAAAAAAGGAACACTCCTACAAAACCGAAAGACACTACAGATAGAAGTAAAAGGTGATGATGAAGAAGAAGAGGATGAAGAAACATCTGACAACACGCTAAGTATACAAAATGAAAGAGACCAAAAGCGCCTCAGAGAGTTCTCACCTGAAAATTATCATCTGATGCTCCCGCAAGACCTGACACAATGGGAAATGAACGACAACGCTAATGGATAAAAACATACGGATACACTCTAACAATGTAAACGGGCTCAACTCCCCCTGTAAAAGGCGGAGGATTTTCAACTACTTGAAGCAACAAAACTTAGATATAACGGCATTACAAGAAACACATATTTGCAGCAAGCACGTGAAACATTTAACTCAAAAGAAGTTGGGGAACCTATTTTATGCAACATGCAACGAAAAGAAAAAAGGAGTCGCACTATATATTAAAGATTGGCTAAATCCCAAACAAGTAATAAAAGATATTGATGGCAGGTATATTGGGGCAACAATTGTATCAAAACATGGGATAATACTCATTTGTAACATCTACTGCCCAA